AAAGATTCTTTAGAAAAAAAAAGGGGGGGGGGAATGATGCTGAATTAATTCTAGCTAAAAATAGAAATTTTTGCAATTGTTGTAACATTAGTTTTTATCATATTATAAACACAACAAATAAATTATCCTTACTTTCTTCCGGCTGATTATCAGCTTCTTGTTTGACACATTCTTTCTTTTCTTTGTGAGTCTTAAAACATCCAACAGAGCAACTGAAACAAAATTTATTTTGAAAAACATAAAACAATAAGAGTGTATCAAAATTCTTAAATAAAAAATGAAATGATTTAAAATAAGAAATCATTAGGAAAAGCTAAAACAGTTTGGTAAACAATGAAATTTTATAAAACTTTAAATCAGTTGATCTCACAATGACATTTAATATTTTATATGAAATTATTAATTCTTTGAAACAGCTTTGTTATAGTGATAGCATTTTTATTTCGCCATTTTTTTTAAGATCTTTCATTCAATGTAAATGAGAAAAGGTTGGAGATTTTAAAATAAAAACAACAGATTTTACATCATACTAAAGAATATTTGTCTGTTAACTTTGTGTCAAAAGAAATAAAGCATTTTGCTAAAATGGAAAATAAAGAGGAAATTAGAAGATGATAAAATTGATATTAAAAAACAAATAAGATGTTTTTTTAAAAAAATCTTAAAAAAGATAGTTTTTGTAAATAAGCAAGTAGTGCCTCATACATTCCAAAGCTGAGGCAGTTAAAAATCCATAGCAACATTTCCAAATATATTTTATAACCGTTGTTGAAAAGCCGACCCAAATTCTTTGGTTTACGACTACTAATGTTCAACTCCGTAGCCTAGTAATTTTTAACAATCCAGAAGAAAAGGAAATTCCAGGATCAAGTACTGGGAGATATTTGCCTTAATGGAGGACTTTTTGATGAAATTAACCCACATTTGCGTTACATGGACAGGAAAACCTTCCACGGTTAGTTTGTCCAACACTGAGGATATTTTAGGTCAGCACTATGGTTTGTGTGAGCCGGGTGCAAAATTTATATCAACCAGCTATTGCTAGGATTCAAACCCGGTTCACCTCATTGGTACCTAGCAGGCAAATGATATAGCATTAAAATTTTAATTATTTTAAACAGAATTTAGAAATCATATGTAGAATATAAGCAGCGCTGATTGTTATAAAAAAAAAATCTAAAATATAGTCAGATTTACCTAATTTAACATCTTAAAACCTTATTTAAAAATATTTTTTAATTGAAATATTTTTCCATTAATTCTCTATAATACTAACATGAAATCTCAAATTAAAATTCAAATAATAGCTAAAAAAAGCTTTATATTCAAAGATTACACTTCAAATTAATTATTAAATAAATTATAATTTGAATCTCAAAAAATAGTAACTTTTAAATGTAGTATGTGGTAAAAACAGCTAAAACCTTCAAAAGACTAAAATAAGAATAGAGCAAGAATAAATTTAATTTGAAACATGAATTCTTTTTTAGAAACAAACTCTAAAATTAAAAGTTTTTTTTTAGAGTATCCAACAAACTTATCCAGACAAGTTAAGTGTTTTAGATCCCGTCCACCATTGAATATATGGACATTTATAAAGTTGTCAAAGTATTGTTTCCGACATTTTGTCATAATTTACAGAGCAAATTACATCACCAATTTCAAAAGAAAGAATAACAGAAATATATCAAAGAAATAAATAAAAAATAAAGGCTGTCAATAAAAAGTTTAAAAATTTCAGTTACATTTTATTCAATTGAGTTAAACAAGAAAATGTTTTGGAAAAATCAGTTGTAACAATAGTTAAGATACTTAATGCATATTAGATAAATGTTATTATAATTTATCATAGATCATAAAATTGCTTATGTTAAAATAATACAATACAAATAAATATCTACTCACAATTTCACAATACACTTTGGACACTTGTATTTGGCTCCATTAACATTGCATATTTCACATTTCCCAACAACCATATTTCAAATCAAGATATGCTTCCTGTAAAATGAGCAATAAAAATATGTTAAAATTGATCCAACAAATTATAAAACTGTTAAAAGTATAAGTAAGATTAAATTTGACAAAACAAATTGCCATCTAATATAATAGTCATATGAGTAAAAAAATTATAGATCAACTCACGTTAATTTAAAACTTTAAAAAAAAAAAAAAAAAAAAAAGCAAAAATAATATAATTAAGTTTTATAATAATCTTT